AGGGATTTCGTTTCTCATGGCGATAAGACAAACTTACTTGAAGGAAAAAAATTGCAAATCAATCAAGTGGGGTACGATGAACGCCCAAAGCTCAACCGCTTGAGCAACCAAGCTATTTGACATCCGTTCCGAAACAGGCAAGGACCTAATTCAGCAACCAGAGGAAAATTGAAAATTACTATTTTCCCATGAATAACGTTATTGTGGCTTGTTTGTAAGAGATCGCTATATGCTTCCGCGGATTTTTTAGTTCCTTTGAAGACCCATATTTTGTTCAAGTGGCACAATCGTGATTTTTAAAAATTTGGTTTATTCGAGCAGATCGCTATATGGAAGCTTTCTCCTTAAAACAAGTCCAAAAGTTCATGTACCGTTTTAATCAAAATTATTATAACGAATGAATGAGATCTTGTGAGCATAATTTAAAATTGTAATAATGAAATGAATCAAAACGGTAGGGGACCATATTATTCCGTTTTTCTATTAACATACTTTTATTCTAATATCTCAAAGTTTGTCAAGGTGATTGTGGGACATATTGTCACTCGAATAAAATGTGTTTTATTTTGAATGTGTAAGTCGAACACTCGGGGCCGGCGGTTCAACTCCAGTTCAAACTGCTGCTCAGATTGAACTAAGCACAAAGTTGAAAATCAGTTGTACAAATCAAGCTCATGGCTTGAACCCAGTCCAAGCAGGCATAGAAAACCCGACCGGCCGATGTCCCTCGGTTAAATTCAGTTCAATGTAACATAAATATCGTAGCAAAGTTTAGCGAAGGAGTTGTGTTGAGTTTAAAAATGAATATTCCCGGAGAGATAACTGATGACGAGGACTTCATAGAATTAAATAACACCGTATATGTACCCAGGTTACCCAAAACTTACAAACAAAGATCCGATAATTTTCGGATTTGGAACGACACTCAATTCTTGCAACGATTTCGGTTATCAAAAAATACTTTTAGATTCATAATAGATAAAGTTGCAGATGATATCAGAAATATAACGATACAGTAAGCCTATTTATAATTCAGAGCCATTCTTGGCGGGTCTATATTGTGCTCCAACTACAGAAAAAAGACAATGAATTAGATAAATTGAATAATACATATCATTACCTGTTTCAAATTTTAGTAGATATATTTTTAAATATAATTATTTGTACATTTATGCATTTAACAACTTATGGGAATGCTGTGTTGTATCCAAATTGAAAAATCGTTTTATCATTGTCGGTGAATTTGCAAAAAAATATGAACTGCTCAAAGGGTACTCACACTACAGGAATGGCCCTGGGTTGATATAATGCGGGTGAAATTTGGACAAATGTGTATAAAAGCTATTTTTTATAGAAGTAATGCCCTCACGCCAGATGATATGGCAAATATATTTGCAAATAGTAGAGTTCGAGCCTTATTTGAAACCGGACATTTTGGCGTCAGTTTGTTGGTTGCAGATAGTGGTTATGGTATGAAGCCATATTTAATCACACCACTAAGCGGACACTGAAACTCAGAGTCAACATTTGTCTAATGAATCTCAAATTCGCACTAGGAATCCTGTCGAGAGATGCTTCGGGGTATGGAAACGACGTTTCCCCATCTTAGCATTAGGAATTCGTGTAGCGAAAGAAAGAATTGAGCCAGCAGTTGTTGCAACAGCAGCAATCATTTTTCAAATAAATCCACCACTACAAAGAGAAAGAATCAGCAGCAATTATACTAAGTGACATATAAATCCGAACACCCAGTTTAAATGGTTTTATTTTAATAAAAGTTGGTGAATGTATCTATCTTACTGTAAATAACAAGTGAAAAAATTTTCAGCCTTATCAGTTGGACATTCCGGTTTTTATACTGCTTTTTTTAATTCACTAACGCTTTCAGCCGCAGTACAGAGTCAACGTTGGCGGATTTTGGTTCTTGACATCCTTTGCGATCGGTTACGATGCCTAGAGAACGGAGACCTGTACGATTTCGTCAACTTAGTGAGTTTAATAGGGGAAGTATAGTGGGACTTCGGGAAGCTGGACTTTCTTTTCGGTCAATTGCAGTTACAGTGCAAAGAAGTGTAGACACTGTGGTTAGGTGTTGTCAGGCATGGCTTCGAGAAGGCCGTACGCAAAGAGCAAGGGGCACTGGACGCCGCCGTAGAACAACAGACCGTGAAGATCGCCGCCTAAGATTATTGGCCTTAAGGGACCGTTTCTCCACTACCAGGTCCATTGCAAATGAATGGTTTGCAGAACACGGAAGACCTTTTGGCATGCGAAGTGTTTACCGACGAATGAGAAGTTTTGGCTTGTTTTCATACCGGCCACACTGGGTCTTCCCTCTAACTCGAGAACATCGACGTAATCGCCTTGAGTGGTGCAGACAACGGTCACTCTGGGATCAGGAATGGAACAGTATCGTCTTTAGTGACGAGTCTCGATTTTGTTTAGGCATGCACAATGGTCGTGCCAGGGTTAGAGGGCGACGTGGTGAAAGGAGGAATCCACAGTTTTTTGTTGAAAGACATGTTCATCACACTGTTGGAGTTATGGTTTGGGGTGCTATAGCTTATGGTTCCAGGTCACCTTTAATCTTCTTCAGAGGTAACATGAACGCGCAGCGTTATATCCACGAAGTTCTAGAACCCCATCTTTTACCCTATCTTGACACCCTGGCAGATCCAACTTTCCAACAAGATAATGCCCGACCACATGTTGCAAGAGTCACAATAGACTTCCTTCAACATAATGATGTCACATTGTTACCATGGCCACCAAGATCTCCCGACTTATCGCCAATTGAGCACGTGTGGGATATGATGGGTAGGAGATTGCTCAATTTGCAACGTCCTCCTCAGACTCTAGAAGCACTTCGAGAGGAGTTGGTGGTTGCCTGGAATGAGATACCACAGGAGGACATTGACCACCTGATCAGAAGCATGCCCAGGCGCGTTGGAGAATGCGTAGCACATCAGGGTGCATCCACACATTATTAAAGATCAAAGGGCTTTAAAGCAGTGCAATCATTTTGAAATTTTTATCATTTACTTATTATGCTTCATTAAGTACTTATACAAAATTTTATTAAAATAAAACCATTTAAACTGGGTGTTCGGATTCATATGTCACTTAGTATATATTTTTAATACATATAAAATAGGAAATATAATGAAGCAATTATATACCTATCCGCTTTCCTTTGCGATATATTTAGAGTCGATAATAACAAACTAACTTCAAAAAATCGCCAAAAAACGATTCCAGTTTGTACCTATCGTTTCGGTCTATAAGTGAAAGCAAGTGAAAGTAGGGTTATGATTTCGGTCAAAATCACATCAAAATGACATTGTTGGCAGGTCTTATCATTATGTGCCTGATAACATAGTGCTTATGGTATTACCAACTGCTGCATATTTGAGGTTCAGTAGAGCCGAGCTTGACTGACAGATGAACAACGCACATGCATTTGAACTAAGTTCATATTTGAACTAGAGTTCAGGTGATCTAAAGCTTAACCGAAAGTTGAACAACTGTCTCTCAGAGTTTAAAATGCCACCCTGTTCTAGCCTGACGCCTCTCGACAGCCGTCCCGCCGCCCGGCTGCGCGGCGGTCATGGTCTGATCACGCGTGTGTCATTACAGTTTAGACTAGGCAGCAGCGGTGGCCGCAGTAGTAGACTCTTGGGTCTCCTGCACAGTTGCCGTGCGCTGTGCGGGTTCGAGTCCCGTCCCAGGTGAAATTTTTCTCTTGGCTATGGATGTTGTGATTGTCCGTAGGTGGTAGATGGTCTCTCACTGTCGAACGCGGAGATACCACCCGGCGGATCTCGTAGGCGGAGCCAGAATGTGTGCATGTTGCAAGCACACGTGTTCCCTCGCCAGAGTCCGTGTGGCGTTCCCCCTTTCCCATGTATCCCCCTATAGCCCCACGGTACCCAATGGGTGCTTAGGCCTCAGGCCTTCGTGGTAGTTGGAGTATAAAAAAAAAAGAAGATAGTTACAGTATAGGACATTGATTTATATCACGTAAACTTAACTCAGAACGAAACTGACACCGCGCGATTGTGCACGAATCTTCATATTTGTAATACGCCCTAACCCAGAACCGGTGAAATGCTCCATGGCGACTAAATTTCCAAGCACCAAGCTACTAATCCCCACTACCCGTGTCTCGCTCCCGAGTCTTTCTGGTCCACCCTCTACATTATACCTAGGTTAAAAGTATGCTTTTCCGAATTAGAGGAAACATTACCAGGAACTGATAAAGGGTGCTTGAGAATCAAAACTTGCTTTTTGCTAATTGAACTGCAACAACCTGTAACAAAGCACTCTTGCAGAAAAATCGTCAGATTTTAGGGATTGTACAAAAACATTTACCACACTTTAGCCTTGGAGATTTACGCTTGCGTAGCTTCTTTCCTAGTGCTAGTTGATGAATTTTCTTCAACAAGATTCAATACTCCTCCCTTTGTTTACATCATTCGGGGTTTTCTAAGTCTCCCACTGTGCCCACCTCGACAAGGAAAATAAATCTACTAAATCTATGGAAACATGTGGGAAAGCGATCTGCATACGCTCGCGAAGCTTGTGTAGCATTTTGATGATGCTCACTGTAAGATAAAAAGTCTTCATTTTTTTCGAACTGACTATAAGTAAATTTTTTGTTTACCTACGCTACCGACGCCTGGATTGAGTACTGACGTGCGTCTCGCATTTAGTCTGATCGAGATACGGGAGCGGAATATTTTTCGTTTAGATTCCATTGATTTGGCATAGCCTATAATGTCTCTTATCCTAAGACTTCGGAATATAAACTTTGCGGACACCATGTATATATAATGTGTGAAATATTCAAAAAGAAAGCCGGTAGATCCATGTTTAAGCGATCACTTTCAAAGCCGGCACCGCGGACGTACAGTTCGATATTCTGCTGTGGCTCCTAAGATTAGATACCTCCTTGTGCACCTAGAGGATCTCCTAGATATAAAAATCTGTCTCAAATCAATGCTGAAAGTTTACCGGGTGTCTGAGCTCGTCAAACAGAACTCACTTACTCCAGAGATAATAGCTGTTATGCTCACCTTAGGATCTTTCCATCCTACTAATGGCGGGAAGCAGATGACAAAGCTGAGTATCCATAGACCCGCTATCAGCAGTTTCGCTCTAGCATGCGTCAAGATGCTTGGGTACGTTATCGGCCTAGTCACAGCAAGGTACCTGCAACAACATATTCAAAATAAGTTGATTGAATAAACAAGTAAGAAGTGTTACGTCCAGGTTCACATAAAATGAGGATATTACTTAATTCTATTAATTTATTACAATTGTAACTATAGGCAGATTGCGATACTTTGCAATTTTTGAGGTTATTATTTATAATACCATTTTTAACTCTTTACTTTTTTCTCCTAACCAGCATGGTTTTGTTGCTGGCAGATCAACAGTCACAAATCTGACATGCCTGACTCAAGCTATCTCTGAGGTATTAAATGACCAGGGTCAGTTGGATGTTATTTATACCGACATTCAAAAGGCCTTTGATCAGATATATCATTACTTGCTTCCTTCTAAGCTTGGAATGATTGGGTTGTCTAAATCTTTATTGAAGCTTATCAGATTATATTTATTTGATAGAAATCTACGTTGAGTTTGGTGGTTTTAAATCTAATACTTATACAGCAACATCTGGAGTGCCCCAAGGATCCAATTTGGGTCCTTTGTTTTTTGTGTTGTTTATCAATGACCTGTCGCTGGAATTGCCTGGTATGCATTTACTTTATGTTGATGACTTTTTTTTTGGCACTAGGACCTTGCGTCCCATTAGCCAGATCCAATCTTGTATATACGTATATCTCTATTTTTGGACAAACACATGCCGTCACAACATCCATGGCTTCGAAATGTGATTTCTGAAGGCGAGATTCGAACTCGCGGCCCGACCGGCCGGCTGATCAGTAGCACGACACTCTGGCCCACCCGGCCAACCGAGGCCCCTGTTGATGACTTGAAAATTTATACTGCTATTCAGAGCTATCACGACTGTATCTCTCTTCAAAGCAGCTTGAACTTGGTGCATTCTTGGTGTTCCAGAAACTCTCTTACGATTAATGTATCAAAGTGTAAAGTTCTGTCTTTTAGTAGGAAGAACAATGTAATACATTATGAATAGTATCAATGATCACTCACTCGAACGAACACAAAAGCTCAAAGGTTTGGGTGTTGTATTCGATGCCAAGGTGACATTTAAGGATCACATCACTCAAATGGTGAGTTCAGAGTTTAAGATGCTAGGCTTTTTTGTAAGGAATTGGTCAGGATTTTCAAACATATCATCTCTAAGGCTTTTGTATTTTACATTTATTAGAAGTAGGCTGGACTACGCTTCATTAATTTGGCTTTAAAGTATTTGTATTACAAATGTTATGGAAATTATCCTAAAAGAGGTTTCGACCATTCTATTTTATCAAACATTTTTGATATAGAGTCATTGCATCTTAGACGCGACATATCAGCGGTACATCTTTTGTACAAAATCATACACAATCAAGTTGATTGTTCATTCATATTAAGTAAGCTTAATTTTGGTGTGCCTAGGTTGGGAAATAGTGTTCAAATCACTTTCTATCCGGTTATTGGTAATATTAATTTAATGTCTAGATCTCCGGTAAATATGATTTGTACATGTTCCAATTCTGTTTGCAGTTCCTGTGACTTATTTTTTGATAGTGAGAGATTTATTACGAAGTGCTGCAGAGACTGGTACCTTTGTCAGTGAGAGTTTGTTTTTTCTTTTTTCAAGTTTTTTTTTTGTGTTTGGCGTTACGGCTGTTGCTAATTATGTAACTTTTTCTTGTATTTTTTCTGTAATTGGGAGACACCTGGTGGGAATAAAGTAAATAAAAAATAAATAAATAAATAAAATTTGGGGTGTTAACTGCCAAAGTCAATACACACTCACTGTTACAATAAGATGTGAGTAATGTTTACAAAGTTATGGGATATTAAAATGCATATGGACTACGAAAAATGACTTATATGATATGATTATTGGTTTGAAAACTTGGATTTTGCTTTACGTTTAAAGAAAGTGACGTTATCACAAAACAAATTATCTTCACAAAACTGATTGTAGGATCTTTGTGTACTTACTAAGGCAGAATTTATATCTAGCACCGCATTTAACTCTCAGCTAATAAGAACAGCACGTGTTTATACGAAATCAGCTGTCTTGTGGTGGCCATGTTTTGAGTTATTTATCTCTCTACTTAATTCGCCTAGCCTGTCTTATAACTACTCTTAGGCCCGTATCGTCAGTCGTCCCTACAATTGTAGGGCGCCTTTATGGCCTCCTTGATTGTCATAGTTTTCTACTTCTCCGTGTCAGCGCTCTATTTTGAGGTTATGTCACAAACATCTATTTGCATCAAATGCTGCTTGCTTTTGAGTTATATCATGTTTTATCAGCCTGAAATGTCCTACAATTTAAAAAGAAAACATATCTTCACAATAGGAGAGCGCTGACGCTGACACGGGACAAGTGTAATCTAGACATTTTTAAGGAGAGAAAGGAGTATGACAATCAAGGAAGCCATAAACGCGCCCTACAATTGTAGGGACGACTGACGATACGGGCCTTAGCTAGAACTATACATTGCAGTACCAGATGCAAGACAACGAATCTTACCTGTCTAATGAGATGGCACACAGATTGAGAATGGATGCAGTACACATCCACACATCTACAGCAAGCCACATTTGACACCATATGTCTCCGAATATCCACACCTGAAAGAAAAGATGCATTCTTACTTGGTGAAAAGGTTATGATACGGTGTGAGAATAAAAGTATTTCTTTGAGCTGAATTGAATACATCTCCGTAAATAGCAAGAAGGAATTTCAACATGATATCTGGACGATATCTTATAACATTTTTAAATGGTTATGTGGTAGCACATCTTGATGTTTCTTATCACTACATTATATCCCTAGAGTAAGTTCACTATCTTTCAGAATGATGTACTGAAGGGCTGCCAAAGTTGAGCGTTTTTGTTTATTAGATCGTCAATCGGTCGATAACACTGTTATGCACAAAATTCCTCTCCGCCAAAAAAAAAATACGTTATTTCGATAAGTTCTACATATTCAACCCTTACACTGACCTATAATTTAACGTATCACGTAACGCAGTCGAGAGAGTACCTACAACATGCTTTAAACAGGTGTTAGAATGTATCTGTGCAATATTTACCTTTCTATAGCATAATAGGGTACGACGTTGCCAAGTCTACGTTTCTCTTATTATAGGAAAGGTATGAACAATCTGGCAACACAGCATATGAAGTCTAAAGCCCCTGGGGCTTCAAATAAAGGAGATACCCATTGAATGTATGTATGTGTATACAATAATCGTTTCCAATGTCTTGATTCCCGCTGTTTCTAGAAAATATCAGGTATGCCAAATGGGTATACATATAAGCAGCCAGCCGCTTATCGGAGGATCAACAGTACAGTATTCAGCAGTGGATATAATATGAGCGAAGTAATGCCGTTGCGAACCTATGTGAACCATGCGAACAGTTTGTTATATTTGCAGTGAGGTGACACTGAAGGCTCAGCAAAAGACCCGCTTGTAAGAAAAGCCTACGAGTTATATTTCGGACTCAAGACAAAATCTGGGCTCCCAAAATATGCTGTCGCACTTGCTCAAGAACCTTAGCAGGATCGCTACGGAGTACTCACACTTCTATGAAATTTGGAGTGGTTGATATTGTCGCATCAATAGTTTTCCTCATAAGCACGCGATATAACACGGAATTTAGGCTATATAACGTTCTGAAGAATAGCTCCTGGAAGATGTGAGCACGAAAATGTTGAATGTAGGTGGCCGCAATCAATCAGCTTCTGCAGTGATACGGGACGAACCAGGCTAATGAAAGCTAGGAAAAAAAGAACAATTACATCTATTTTTAAAAAGCGACCGAAAATCTCTCCGGGCTTCATATACTTTTTGTTGGAGGGTGAACCAGTAGCGTGCCCTACGTATGTCAGATAATGACCTCAGGGTGAGTTTCAGAAGCTTATAATCATATTCGTGTTCATTATTATTCAGGTTAAGGAGCAAAGATTTTGCCGCTGATTTTACACCAAAAACGTGTTTCCAGTCTCTGAGGGTTGATTCGGTCCTAAAAACATCAGTCCTCAGTTAACTAAACGTAACAAAAATTGAATTTGGCGTTATCTTGAGGATCTCATTTCCATTTGACTTTACGCTCTGCAAAGCGAAACTTTCGGATTCGCCGTGATCGAAGAAGGGGAAAACTTTCTGCTCCCTCTCAAGTAGCACAAGATTTATGTCGTACAGTCGCTTAAAAAGAAGTTTAGATACGAATTAAATAGCCAAACCTCCGTAAATTCTTTAAGCGTATCCAGCGCTTCAGAAGGTGCTATGAGTCTTCTATGAATAGGGAAAGTAGCATACGCATCATGCCTATGGTTAAAGAGCAGTAAACTGCTAGTAATTTGCTTTTGATGGATAAATAGTTGCACTACTGGCAGTTTTATACTAGCTTACGGAATGGTAAAGGATCTTTTGGTGAAGTTTTCAGAAGTTGCATAAACTAAACACAAACTGAACTATTCACCTTCTGTCTTCGTGGCCATAACAAATTGTATGCACCATTGTTTCATGTTTTTTTAGCAATAATCAGCAAAGCATCGGTCTGTTTAAAGCAAACAAGAGTACATGGATCTTGTATAACGGACATAACGCATGTAATCTACGGAAAGGCTAAGGTGGAAGTGCTGTATCGCCAACTCTACCATGTACGTCACCCCAAACGCTCGAGTGCCGTCGATTCAAAGAGTTCCCTACACTATGCAGGAAGTAACATTGACGCATCAGACTGTAATACGGGAGCTTTTGTTGCTCGACCTCAACAAAGCTTCTGGTCCGGACTTGATTCTTACCATTGCATTGGAGAAGTGTGCAGTGGAGCTTGCTCCAGTTATTTCGCATCTCTTCCAGATATCTTGCGAAGCCGGCACCTTCACAGAAAATTTGCTCATAAGTAAGATGTTTGAGAGGTGCACAAATCGCGAGCTTCTGGAATACTCCGAGCATCGCGGCTTGATTAGCGACATGCAGTATGGTTTCAGACACCAGCGATCCACAAGGAATTTCCTTGCTGACGCCACGCAATTGTGACGTGAATTCACCCAGTCTTATAGTTAGGGTCATGCAGTTGCTCTTGAATTCCCAGATGGATGACTTCATCCTACAACGTCAACGCGGGTGTTCCCCAGGGATCCGAATTGGCTCCGAAATTTATTCGCAGATAAATACTCCTGATGATAGTATCAAGCTACAACACCAATTAAATTTTGTGCTGTCTTGGTGTGTAGAAAACAAGTTGGAGCTTAATGTGAGGAAGTGTAAAATAGTCAGCTATACCAGGAAAATTAATGTTTGCGAATATCCGTACTCTATTAATGGGTCTGTGCTAGAAAGATGCTCTGATGTACGTGATTTAGGTATAATCTATGATCAGAAGTTAACTTTTATTCAGCATATAAATAAAAAAGCATCAGAAGCATTGGCGGCTTATGGTTTCATAGCAAGAAATTGCAGGAATTTTTATAACATAAAGTCTATTAAGCTATTATATTATGCTTATGTTAGATCCAAAGTCGAGTATTGTAGTATTATTTGGAGCCCTTACTATGAATGCTATAGCACAGCTACTGAAAGAGTACAACGGAAGTTTATGAAGTTTCTTCTGTTTAGGATTGATGGGACACATCCAGAGAGAGGTACAAGTAATGAGGAACTATGTAGTCGCTTAGACATGTTGACTTTGAAAAAACGTAGGTACTGTGCCTCAATAATATTTGGCTACAAAATGATCAACAATTTAATTGATTGCCCCATGATCCTGGAACAGATCAAGTTTCGTACTCCAACGTTTGCATCTCACAATCATAAAATATTCGGGCTTCCTAGAGCTAGGACAAACATTCTTCTCAAGTCACCGTTATATGTAATGTGCTCTAACTGGAACAGAATTGGATGTTATTGTGACATATTTACGACAAATGTTAATTACCTGCTAAAGGCAGCTAAGGCTTATTCGGACCAATAGCTCATGTTACAAATTTATACATGTGTTGCATTTGTTGTTTTCTTTTCGATTTTTTTTGCTTTTGTATTATGTTTATAAAGTGTCCTATAAATGGGAAACTGTTGGACAATAAAGCTATTATAATTATTATTATTATTATTATTATTATTAAGAGATTTCCGACTATTTACAGCAAGCATTTATAAAAAATAAGCAAAAATAGCAGAGCTAAATGACAATCCATGTGTTGGTGTTCATAATGGTCAATCTGTCATAGCACAGCGTTTCCAGCTGGGTCATACAAAATTTCCCCAGAACAAGCACAAAAATGCCTTGCCACCCCAAATCACAGTTAATTAATGGAAAGGAATAGGTTTGGTTTAGAGAACACGGAGGTGTCATCAAATATCCCAAAAATTCCTAAAGTAAAAATCTTTTAAATTTGGGGGAAATCCGCCAATATGGCCACTGATACTCCAGGAGTCAAGTTTCGGGGTCGTTTTTACAGCACAAGCAGTTGTTTGTTATTGATATTAAAAAAAATTAATTATTCCAACAACGTATTTTGATCTTAATTTTTATGTATTTTATATTACCAAAATACAATCGTTTTTTATAAATTAGTTTACAATTTATTGACTTACAGTATTGTTTGTACGATTCCAAATCGACGTCTGGTTTTGTTCCATTCATCTTTTCTTTTGCTTTATCCCTAAGATGAATTAAATGTTTTACCTCTGCATCTAACCATGGAACTAAAATACTATCATTTAAAGCATGCAAGAGAAAAGCTTATTTTCCCACTGTGTAGCCCTCCTAATATTATTGTTTATACAGGCTGCGGCAGAGAGGATGAACGGTTTTAAAAAAATCATAAAATAGTTAATTTTTACTCGAAAACAAATTTATTGATGGAATCAGGTTCACAAGGAAATAGCATTTGAGACAGTCAAGTGTAGAAAATCACATCAGGCATGTGGTGGCCGAAATCGTTGATGCAGTGCTGGAGGCGCTCTTGGAAGTTCGCGTAGACTCTCGCCAACATCGCTCTCTCAACTTGGGCGACTTCCACGCGAATCTCGCCCTTCAATTCGTCCAGAGTTCGGGGCCTGTTCGCGTATACTCTAGCCTTGAGGTGTCCCCATGAGAAAAAAATCGCATATGGATAAATCTGGGGACCAAGGAGGCCAATGAACCTGGAAATAAGGCGACCAATAGCCCAATAACGACAAATCTGCTGGTTAACCGTGTTGTTTAGGTGAAAGTGGGCTTCGTCACTCATAGGCGAAAACGCGGTGCTCCACCGTCCAATGCTCCATAACGACAACTGGTAAAATAATGCTAGGATCTCACGAGTCAAGCGGCACCCTCCCCACCTGTCTCGTAGACGGAGGCGGAGGATACTACCCATCCCAAAAATGTCCGTCCTCTCTGCCGCACCCTGTACTTTGGAGGTGCTCTTTGATAGTTTGAATTTATTGAGAGCGGCGTATAGGGAGCTGATCATCCTCCTTAAATACAGAATTAAGAATCCGCCGCTGGATTTGGCGAGGATGAATGTGCGCTGGCAGCTTCGTAACCGGGCCGGCATTTGTCTCGCCGCTCCGGCTGCAATAACGTGCCGAGTACTCTACGACTACCTTCACGCTCCGGAACTGATTTAGGAA